ATGTTCTCTCTCCTTTCACGTATGAGTGGCACTAAGCTGTTAGTGCTGTGTTTTGCCTGTGAAGAGGTTGAAGGCAGGGACTGTGTCATGTCCTCCTCTCCTGTGTCACCAGAACCTGGCCCGGGACTCGGTGCAGGGAAGGGGTCCAGTCATGTGTATATGGCAGCCCCGGGGCTCAACTCTACCCCACTGCTGGCCTTTTGCTATAGCAGATGTGAGCACACAGTGCTTGGCACACGGTGGGCCCTTAGGAAGTAAGAACTCCTTTCTCCCTCTTTCCATTAGTTTATCCATGTGGATTTTTCCAAGGCTGTAACACACGCTGCTTCTGACCTCTCTCTAGGACAGTAACGTCTTCGGGTGGCAGCTCCCAGGGGAGGAATGATTCAGCAGAACGTGGGATTGTTTGCTGCCTTCGTCCAAACAAATGGGGTCTTCCTGCCAGGCTCGGCTGCAGATTAGGCCCCTGGCTCCCTTGGAAAGGCATTTGCATCCTCCTGGGGATGCAGACACCCTTAACTTTGGTGGTTGCCACCTGCTAAAATGCATTTATTCACACACAGAACCTGGGTTGTCATGGTTGTGTGAAGAAGGCAAGGATTGGAGGGCTTGCTCTCGCTTGGGGCCCGGCCACGCTGCTCCACCGTCAACCCACGGGGCAGAGCCCCAGCTCCTCCCACAGACTGGCCACCAGCCCCTACGAGATGAGTCCTCTTACCTTTCCGGGGCCTCCAGAAACCAACCCGTCTCCCCAGCCTGGCTTTCCTACCGCCTGGTCTAGCCATTTGTAGACCTGCTTTCCTCCTCCTACCGGTGTGGGGAATGAGGAGGGGTAGCTCTATGAAAAGCCCTAGAAGGGTCTGCTAACAACTACCCAGCAGGCCACTGTTCTCCACACCACAGGGTTAAGATCAGGGGCTCAGGGTCAGAAAGCCCTGGGTTCAGATTTTGCCTCCACTACCAACTCTGTGACCCTGTGCAGAGTACGTAAATCCTTCAAGCCTTCCTTGTGAGTAAGAGCTAATGCTACCCACCTCATGGTGATGTATCGAGAAAACAGCACATAGGAGTCACCTAGCACGAGCCTGGAACATAGTAAATGCTTGCTAACTGGCTATGGTACAGTCGGTGGTTTGAGCTCGAAAGCATTAAAACATTGTAAGGGGCACTTAACACTCCAGGCCATCATAGTTCGACGATCCAGGGGCATCTCACAGCGTCCTCTTGGGGTCGGTCAGCAAGGCCTTCATCCTTCCATCCCATGAACACCAGAAAGTACAGATTCCTACGCGCAGGTTCCAAGGGATTGTTTGGAATCGCCTGGTTCAGACCTCTACACAAACGGGATCTCCTTGGCATCATCCGTCAGAGGTGCCTACCAGCCTCTGCTTACTTGCTTCTGGTGACAGGAAGCTTACTACTCTGCCCAGGAGCGGTTAGGAACTTAGGAATGGGTCGACTTCATCTGCGCATCCGTGGCTTGTGGGCGGCGGGACATCGGGCTCTGCCCCAGGGCATCTGTTCAGGCTGCTTGTGCTCAGATGTCATCCAGAGGGGCCGCTGGCACCACGACGGAGCCCCGAGCGCTGCAGCAGCACCTGGGCGGCCAGCACATCCCCAGGTCTGTTCCTAGGCTTTTCAGAAACATGATTGTGTCCGTTTTGCACCCAGAGCTGATCAGAGTCCCACTAAGCCAACCCACAAGAGACAGCGCTGGGAACTGAATGCTGATTCATTAGGCTCACCAATAATTGTCACCCTCAAGCAGATGGAGCAGCTGTCCCTGCTCGCTGCCCAATCTCCTGGGAAAACAGATTCTCTGCCAGAATTTCTATGGTGAGCACAGGGATGGGGAGGGGACGGTCTCTGGGAATGTTCCTTTTCCTAGCCATGATCAGCCCTGATGACCATCCCAATCTCATGGGCCAGATGGGCCCTCTAGTGGCCATTCCCAGTTTCCTTCCCCCACCCCCGCCACCCCAGGCCTCCCCTCAGAATTTTGTATAAATAGGTCCTGTGTATGAGTCCTGCTTAATAACAACGGAAGAATCCAGACGATGTGCAGTGAGGGAGCACTCCTGGGGGGGGGGGGTGGATTCCATCCAAGAAAGAAAACACCCCAAGTCCCACTGATTTACATATTAATTGACCGTCTCGGTTCACAGCACTCTGTAATGGAAACTCTTGGGGTTTTCCCCTGTATCTAAGATGTCCGTGATCATCAAGGCTGCTTAGCCAGTATCCTCAAACTGCTGTCTTTTAGAAAACAGCCAGGCCCACTTTGCAGCAGATTCAAACGTTCCTACCTGTGGGGTCAGTGTGTCCCCCATACTTGGCGATTTAATGACAGGGTCTGAGATTTGAGGCCCCTGTCCCTGCCCCCCCCCCAACACAGCATGTCCCCGTGTGAACTCTGACCTTTCAGGTCTCTCGAGGGTTCTCCATTATTCTTTATTTCTTCCATCTTTTGTCGACTCATTTTCTCAGACATCCATTTATTAATTTATGCAAATCCACATCTCCTTCCTCAAAGGACTTGCAGGACTTCTCAGCAAATACAGCCTCAAACGCAGAAACTCAGGGTTAAATGTAAAACATTGGGAGCACAAAACCCGGCACCTGTGAATAGAGGCCTGAGCCAATCCGGAAGTTCGGATGCAGGGGAGCAGGGCCCGGCACCGGAGGAGGCTCAGACCCTGCCGCCAGGCCTGGATCTGAATACTAGCTCAGCAAAGAGGCGCGTGCACTTAGTCCCTGTGCCTCAGTCCCCTCGCCTGTGAAACGGGTCTAGTAGGACTAGATTAAGGGGGGTGATATACGTAAAGCACTTAGCAGAATGGCTGGCCAGTAGTTGGCATTCGGTAACCACGAGTTTTGTCGCTGTTACTGTTATAAGTTTTCCTGTGATGACCCAGTTGCGGTAACTGAGCTGTGAATAAGGCCACAACTGCCTGTTTCTCACTTCCGTGGGGGGACGTGGAGATGCCAGCTGCACAGGTAACGAGACCCTCTGTTTCACCCTCACTTCCTGTGTCTGAGAGCAGCTTATCTTCGCCTTTGGGGAGCTGGGCGCACAGGTTCAGAGCCTCAAACGTCTCTACCTTTGCCTCGCTAGGAAGGTCACGACTGGAAGTTACAAACCGGAACCATGAGGGCAATGTCGTGGTTGGGAATAATCTTCCCAAGGTGCCTCCTGGTGATGGGGAGGGTTGGAGCAGGGGCTTCTTCGGAAACTCGGTCTGGAGATCATGATCTCTTGAGCTTTCCCGAGCAGCTGGGTACTTGGGAGACTGTTAATCAGGCGACACGTCCCCAGCTGCATTTCCGTTTGTCATCTGGCACTTGCCGGAGACTGAGGCTTCAGGGACTGTTGTTGAGCCTGGATCACCGGCTTACAGAGCAGTGGAAAACATGGTTTTTGGTTCGGCCGGCCACATTCTTCTGCTGAAGTTTGATAGAGAACAGTTTCATCTCGAAAACAAGAAAGCATCTTTCCAAGATGGGGAGCCGGGAAGGGAGCTGAGGCGCATTGAGTACCTACTGTGTGCCAGGTGGGAACAGAACCCATCTCAGTGTTAAGGTGTGGGCGTTACTACACCTGGAAATGCAGGTATTGCATTTTCTCTTTTTAAGGATGGGGAGCCAGAAGCCCAGAGAGGTTAAGTGACTTGTCCAAGGGCCCACAGCTAGTAATCTGGGATTACACACAGCAAAGCTGGGATGCTAACACAGGTGAATCCTACTCTAAACCTTTTCCCGTGAACGCATCTCTTATGCTTCTTCTGATGATAAGCTTGCCGCCCTCAAGTTGCCCGATAGTCTGGCTAAGAGAATAGATGCCAGCCTTAAAACATAAATAACAGTACCAGATGCCACATCGCAAGGGCCTAAGCATGAAGCAGTTCAGAGCAGAGAGCCTTTCCTTCCAGATGGCAGGGACGGCTTCAGGGAGCAGGTGGCGGGCCTCAAAGAAAAAAATGAGCCTTGAAAGGCTGTGAGGAAGACAGGATGCCTCAGATCCCAGGACTGGCAATAGCGAAGATCCCCAGGTAGGAAGCTGAACGGTCAGGGGAGGGCAGGCAGCCGGATCCCGGGTTTCTCTGGGAAGTTGGGAGAAGTAAGGCTGGAGAGGTGAGCAGGGTCCAGAACTCAGGGACCTGACCTGTCGAATGGGACCCGGATGCAGGCTCTGCCTTGAGGCTTTGGTATTGGTGCTTCTTTCCCTTGCTGCATTTTTGTGTCCGTCGGTCAGCAGAGACCTGCTGAGGACCTCCCATGTGCCATGACCTGCACAGGGCTCAGGGACCGAGGTCAGCCAGACCGCAGCCCCACCCGGCGAGATCTTGGATGAGACAGGACCTCCCTTCCAACCACACTCCCTCCCTGTCCTTCAGCATTCCCGCCTGAGGCTGCACCCGCCCGTCCCTCTGTGTGGCCTGGAGGCCTCTTTCCTCTGCTTCCCCAGGCCTGGGGCCAGGTGAACTGCACCACGTGAAGCCAGCTGACCGAGTGTCCTTCATGCCAGACCCTTCCCATGTAGTGTCACCAACCATCCCAGCCAGCCTGGGAGAGGGAGACGTGTTATCGCTGGTGCTCAAGAGAACAGGCTCAGAGAGCCCAGGGAACTTGTCCACAGTCACACAGATGTTAAGTGAAGACTCCCCCAGCGGTCCTCTCTCTACCGCCCACAGGGACCCTTGACTCGTCCCTTTAATTTTTCAGCTGAGCATTTCCAGGAAGTCCCTGGAGTAGTGCCGGGTCCTGTAGATACATTTGTGGGCACCACAGTGCCATCTTGTGGTGACTTTCAGAGGGGCCACACATTTCACAGGGAAAGGGCTCCTCCATGCCCAGTGATGGGTGGGTTCCAGCAAGTGCTGGCCCAGGAGGGTCTACAGTCTGCCTTCCATTGAGGGCTGGTGCAAAGCCGAGCGGTTGCTCCTGCTTCGCGAGAAATTCGCATGCCGCCCAGTTACATCCTTTTTGTTGGCATTTATTAGGTACCGAAGATACAAAGGGAAGGAACTACCAAACAGTGAATACCTACTGTAACAGGGGTTTCCAGACCCTATCCCATGGAGCCTTCCCAACAGCCCTGCAAGTGAGGGATTCTCGGGCCACTTTCCAGATGAGGACATGGGCACATGGAGAGGTGCTCTCTAGTCCCGACCCCCACAGCCGGACAGCACAGGGCCAGCCTCAGACCCCTGCTTACACGCTATCTGAGCAAAAGCTCTGCTCATCCAGGCACGACTGGACTTTCTGGCAGCAGCTGCCAGAAATGGGCTACTATTTCAGTGACCTTGTGCTTTTCAAATGAAAATCAGGAGGAAATGGTCTGATGAAGAATTTCTTGTAAGAAAAGAGAAAGAAAGAAAAATTGGATCCCGTCAGGGACAAGTCCCCTTTTTTGAAAATGACCAAAACTATACACAAGCAAGGTGGTGTGGCGCATTTTAAAAATGCAAGGGAACTTAGATGGGGTTGTTTCTGAGAATTCCACGGCATCCCAGAGGACACTGAGAGGCCCCTGCCACGTGGCAGACTCATATGGAGAAATCATTGGCAGAGAGGAGGAAGACCAAGTTCATGATGTGTCATTACCTGTGAACTGGGCTTAGCCTAAGAGGTCCGTGGATGCACACTCATGCTCACAGAGATGTTCAAAGACGCAGGCTGCGGCTGGGTCTTGGCCGTTCCACAGTCCGGGGCTCTGCTTTTGGCAGGCCACTCATTCAAAGAGATGGCGGGGTTTGTCACACAGAATTATTGCCACCAGCAGGTTGATCAACACTGTCTTCCCTGACTGTTCCTCACCAGCAGTCATTGTGCTATTCATTTCAAAATGGAATAAAGAGTTGTAAAGCAGCACTCCTAAAAACAAAGGAAATTTCCAGAGATGAGAAACAAGGAGGAAGCAGAAACAGGGAGGAAGAGTAAGCATGTGCCCTGACTGGAGAGAGAAAAAAAAAAGTTTCTTTGGGGAATTCAGAGACACGGGATAAGGTATCACTGGGATTTAGGGGTCATGATTATATTACCTGCAGGATCCAGGAACCCCCCAGGTCAAAAACCTGACACCAGACTACTCTGGAGAAAATAGGTCCTCAATCCAGGCCACATGTAAGACCAACTTAAAGATGAGCCCATGATCCAGACTTCTGAAACGCACAAGGAAAAGCCCAACCATGTGGGAAAGTCACAGAAACAACAAACACCAGGAATAGACCCTCAGTCTCTGACAGAATGGTTTGAAGGAGCACCCTCTGAAAAAATAAGTAGGTTTACAATTATTAAAGACCTAAATTAAAACATAAATAAGGCAAAAGAAGACGACACTGGTGGGGGTGGGGAAAGACAGGGAAATTTGACAATAAATCAAATGAAACTTCTAGAAGTGAAAAACCAAGGTCATTGGGATGACCTTAGTTGGATGAGTTAAATAGCAGATTAGATAAAGCTGGAGAGAGAGATCGCGAATTGGAAATTTTGATGTGAAGAAATTACCGACAGTGCACCATGGAGAGGTAAGGAGCCAAGAGATGGAGAGGGAAGTTAAGAGCTTACCAGTTGCCTAATACCAGCTCCAAAAGAAGAGAAAAGGGGAGAGATGCAGTTTGTTGGCTGATAATTTTCCAGAATTGATTCCTGAGATTCAAGAAGCATGTTTGAGCAGGATAACTATCTCACCCACACCCACCATAGTCAGATTGTAGAACTGCCAGGATGAAGAGAAGACTTTAAAAGGGAAGAAGAAAAAGATTGCTTACAAAGAGAGAGCGACTAGACTGTGGAGACCTCACAAAACAACAATAGAAGCCAGAGAAGAAAGAAAAAGAACGGTCGTATCATTCAAGAGAAAAGAGCACAGATATTTTCAAACCGAGTACTTTTACCTGTAACAGACTTTTGCTGCAATAACCACTCAAGGATCTACTTCAGAAAGCAGTGAATGGGGCACTTGGCTGGCTCAGTCTGTAGAACATGCGACTCTCGATCTCAGGGTTGAGTTCAAGCCCCACATTGAGTTCAGAGCTTATATAAAAATTAATTATTTAAAAACAAACAAACAGGGGCCCCTGGGTGGCTCAGTCAGTTAAGCATCCGACTTCGGCTCAGGTCGTGATCTCACAGTTCATGGGTTTGATCCCCGCGTCGGGCTCTGTGTTGACAGCTGGGAGCCTGGAGCCTGCTTCGGATTCTGTGTCTCCGGCTCTCTCTGCCCCTCCCCCGCTCACGCTCGCTGTCCCTCTTTCTCTCAAAAATATTAAAAAAATCTTTTTAATAAAATAAGCTCACACAGATACATCTCAGCATCCTGGCCTGTGAGTCCCTAAGCTCCCACTTGGCTGAAAACTGTTTCTGAGCTGTCACCAGCTGACATGCAGAACGGACTGTCATTCGGTCAGCTGGCTCTTCCGTCTTCACGATAGCAGACATCACATATGACGTGATCTATTTCCCTCACATGGAACCGCACCCACCAGTTGCTTTATCCTGGTCGAGAGCAGCGAGAGTTCGGGCAGGTTCATTTCCAGGGCCCCGGGATGCTCATGCCAGCCTTATCACTTTGCACAGCCAAGTCAAAGGCGGGATGCAGGTTTACTCCTTCTCTAAAGAATTCATCCTGGATCCTTACAGTGTATCCAGACGGGCTCCCCGAAGCGATTCTTTCCAGTGTGAACCTCATTCCTGGGGACGGTCAGAGCTTCCCTTTTCCAGTCCCTTCCTGCCCAGCCACCCATCTCCCTCCCTGTCCACTTGGCTGCTTCCATCTGTGTGTTTATAGTGTGCGTGTGTGTATATCTTCGGAATGGATTTTGTTCGTGTTCGACGCAGTTCATATCATTTCCTTCAAGGTCTGTTTTCTGGACCCGTCGTTGGGAGATAATTTCCTCCTTCGTTTCCCGCCTTATCTCTCCCTGCACACATGGACCCCCTGCCAGGAGGGAGAAAATGCTTCTTTTTTTTTGCTTCTCAGGTTTGAGATCCTTTGGTCTTTGCAGCCCAGGAGAATCTCATTATTGACAACGTGATAGGCATGGGAGAGCGTGTGATGTCGCCTTTCCAGCCGCTTGATGAGACTTCTGCGAACTCTTAGGGGGGGCTGTGTGGAAATACCTGGAGAGCCCTGCAGAGGCCTGCCTCACTTTGAGAACGCCCGCTGTGTGGGGGCACCTGGGGGGCTCAGTCGGTTAAGCGTCTGACCTGGGCTCAGGTCACGATCTCACGGTTCGTGAGTTCCAGCCCCGTGTCGGGCTCTGTGCTGACAACACGGAGCCTGCTTGGGATTCTCTCTCTCTGCCCTTCCCCTGGTTTCCCCCCTCTCTCTCTCTCAAAAGAAATAAGTGAACTTTTTTTTTTAAAAAAGCATCCCGTAGAAAGCCTCCCATCAGGAGTCCAGTGCGACCTGCCAGAAGTGTGAGAAGAGTAATTGACAGGATATACACTGATTGACCTAATTTCCGGTTGATAAAAGTGATGATGGTTCATGACAAAGTGAATATACTTGACTCTGTTGAACCATACGCTTAAAGATGGGTAGATGGTGAAGTTTATGTTCCATGTGTCTTATCACCATGACAAACTTTGCTTAAAGAAAAGTAACTGAGGAAGCGGTTGACCTTCAGCTGCTTCCTGCAGAGGCTCTGCTCCGAGGGGCGGGTGCTGCTGTTTCCTGCCACCATCTGACCCACGCCACTGAGCCACAGCAGTGCCTGCCGCTAGTGTTTCTATATGCAGCCGGGCCGTCTGCACAGATAGGGCCTCGCGCACCCCATCCCCCCCACCCCCCCGCCCCGATTACCAAACTGACCGTGTGGGGAGAACATGGGGAGTTGACCCCACGGACCGAGCCGCGTGCCCCGAACACAAGGCCTGACACCAGCGCTGGGAAATCAATATTATTATCAATATTATCAATTATCAGTATTACTACCTTCTCTATCTCCCTCTGACAGATGAGGCAGCTGAGAATCCGCATTATTAAATAACTGACCTCCGTTCAGGCAGCGGTGAGGCCAGGATTCGAACACGGGTTTCTCTCACGCCACAAGCCAGGCGGCTTTCCCCGGGCAGGTGATTCCCAACCCTCTTGAGCCCAGGGGCCCTTTCTAATGGCGCACGTCTTCACAGACCTGCCCACAGCAGCGGTCATATCTTCAGTGTCTCCTGGCTGAGGAGATATGGAATGGCCAAGAGCTATCATCACCAGGAATTCTGTGAGTCACCACAGCATCTGCCTACAGTCTTAAAATGACGACACCTGATGTCTGTGTTTTGTGAGGCTGTCTCTCTCTCTCTCTCTCTCTCTCTCTCTCTCTCTCTCTTTTTTAATTTCACAGGTGGGAGGGACGGAGGGAGAGAGACAGAAATGTTAAGCAGGCTCCATGCTCGAGCCTGGCACGGGGCTCGATCCCGTGACTGTGAGGTCATGGGCTGAGCTGCAGTCAAGCATCAGACGCTTAACTGACTGAGCCACCCAGGCGCCCCCATGTGAGGCATTTAATTGGCCAACAGTGGTTGGTGCTTGTGCAGTGTCTTAGGCCCTCAGAGTCGCTCTGGACCTTTGCCCCCAGGGATTGGGCACCCCTGAGCTGCACCAGGAATTAGATGAAGGGGCTGGACACCCTGAGTCTTTTGTAGGCCAGACACAAGGGAGTTTCTAAATACAGCCGACGTCAGGTTCTTAGGCGGGGAGGCGGGTTACTCTGAGCCTGTGGATCGTGCTGAGGCCAGGGGAGGGAGACTGAGGCAGCGTTAGCTTTAGAAGGACCACTCACTATTCTGCCCCGTTGCAGCCTGCAGTCATGCTCAGTAGCATCCGTCCCCCAGAACACGGCTCTAGAAATGAGCCACTGAAAGGCTGAGAACAGTAAAGACATTTCCGTTTGCTTTCACCTCGGTTAGTACTCTTCGTTTGCTTTTATCCAGTCTTCAGAGATCCCCAACTGTAGCTGCCGGGAAGAAATAGTGCCAGGAGAGAACAAAGAAAAGGAAAAGAGGAAATACCCTCTGTGCCTGTTTCCTCAACACGAAGGGTTCATACTGCTGAGTTGCGCTGCTCACTTTCATTCGTTCCGCAGATAGCTGTTGAGCACAGCTTCTGTGCCAGGCACTGTTCCAGGCACTGGGGGCTCACGAGAGAGCACAAAGAGCCAATCTCAGCCCTTGGGGAGCCCGTGTGCTAATGAGAGACAGACTAGAAGTGAGGTTTTTATTTTTACTTATTTTTATTTTTTATTTTTAAAGTTTGTGTACTTAGAATAAGTAAGCGAGAAAAAAGAAAGTGAGAGAAAAACAGAGAGAGTCAGAGTGTGGGTGGGAAAGGGGCAGAGAGAGAGGGAGACACAGAATCTGAAACAGGCTCCAGGCTCTGAGCTGTCAGCACAGAGCCTGATGCGGGGCTTGAACCCACAAACCGTGAGATCATGACCTGAGCTGAAGTTGGATGCTTAACCAGCCGAACCACCCAGGTGCCCCAAGAAATGAGGTTTTTAAAGGTAAAGCAGGTAGGAAGTCAGGTAGTCTTACGTGCAATGGAGAAAAAGAAATCGGAGAAGGGAGGTGGGGCCCATGGGGTGGTGAGGTGCATTTGTCTACTCTGAGAGGGTGGCAGTTAAGTGAAGAGGGGAGGGAAGTAGGGAGGCGCAGATATTAGAGGGGAGAGCATTCGGGAAGAGGGAACGGCGAGGCCAGTGTGGCTGGAGGGGAGTCAGCCAAGGGGGAAGCTTGGGGAAGGTCACTTGGGCCTTTGGGAGCTGTCACAATGACTTGGCTCCAGGTCAAGTCGTTGTGGCTCCAGGGGACATGGCTCCAGGGGACATGGGTCCCACAGGACAGTTTTGAGCACAGGAGTGAAATGATCTGACTTTCCTGCAGTATAATTTACCTACCACAGAATCCCCCATTCTGAGTATACGACTCAGTGATTTTTAGTCCATGTACAGAGTCGTGCAGCCATCACCGCCACCCGATTCTAGAACATTTCCATCACCCCCGAAAGATGCCTTGTGCCTAAGACTTGCTTTTAAAGGGATCACTTGGGCTCCCGTGTTAAGAGTAAACAGAAGAGGTGGAAACGAAGAAAGTGTGGGAAGGAAATGTTTTTTGCCGCACCTGCGAGTGACAGAAAGGACTAGAAGCAGGGAGGTAAGACATGACTGGCAAAGCTCTTCTTTCTGAACTCCTGGAGGCTCAGAGCCTCCTTCTCACCAGAGTTATAACAGGGTGGAGGGCCTCCAGCTTTAACAAAGCAGGATATTAGTATCATACAGAAAACTTTAAACGTTAGAAAGCCTGCGTCCCCTGACTGGAGAGTCACTGAACGCATGTTGGATCCCTGCCCTCCCTTATATTAAAAGTCTGACTATTTGGGTTTTTTTCTTTTTTCTAATGTTTATTTATTTTTGACAGAGAGAGAGAGAGAGAGACAAAGCATGAGCGGGGGAGGGGCAGAGAGAGAGGGAGACACAGAATCCAAAGCAGGACCCAGGCTCTGAGCTTGTCAGCACAGAGCCTGATGTTGGGCTCGAACTCACGGACCGCGAGATCATGACCTGAGCCGAAGTCGGACGCTCCACCAACTGAGCCACCCAGGTGCCCCTGGGGGTTTTTTAATGTTTTATTTTATTTTTGAGTGAGAGAGCATGTGCACACAAAAGGGGAGGGAGAGAGAGGGGGACAGAGGATCTGAAGCAGGCTCCGTGCTGACGGCAGTGAGCCCGAGGTGGGGCTCGAACTCACGGACGATGAGATCACGGAGCCGAAGTCGGACGTTCAACCGACTGAGCCACCCAGGCGCCCCAGAAGTCTATTTGTAAAGCCAGAGAACTATCTTCATACCGTAAAAATTCGCAAGAGAAGCAGAGGTTGCGAGAGGAGTAAATCCAAACGTGTTTCAGCAAACTTCATTGTCCCTGCAGCAAAAAGGCAGTGAAGACACGACTTGACCCTCGAATAGTTCCTGAGTGAGGATTTTCTCTGTTTTACCTGGAAGCATGAAATCTGCTGGTGTTACAGGCTTTGGGGCTGGGCA